GTTTTGTAGCCCTCTGGATCGACATCAACAACTACAACGAAGAGTAAAAATGTTTGAGGTCCCAAAAAGCCATTGGAGGCCGCTTCATCATCTCGGAGTTCAATGTGGATACAAAGAACCGGGGGCCAAATAAAATGAAATTCGTGCACCACTGTGGTTACCTTGTACGAGACCGGCTCCCGATCAGTACCCGCGAATGGAAGAAGAAGACCAATGCTCCTCATATCAGTTTTGTCTCCGATCGTGACAAGACGTTAATTTGGAAAGATGTCTTGGTACATTTCACGCTCCAAACAGATGGTTATGATGATATTATAGATGGTGATGAATTGAAGGAGCGAGTTAGGGATTGGGCAATGAAGAAGATGGCCACCCGGGGCTTTGACTTGGAAGAAACACCTATACATGACGTATGTCAAGAAGAACATAGCACCAGATTTTACTGTCCCAGGCCCGATCTCAAAGCAGAGGCCCTATTGGGATGAGTTTGTACAGTACAAGACATCGGAAGAGGGTGCGAGTCGGGTGATAAAGAACCAACGTAATGCCCAATAGAAGACATACCACCATAACTTGGGATCAGGTGGCTACCCGACTGCCATTAAGAAGTGGAACAAAATGGAAGCAGACCTTCTTGCCAAGGGTATCACACCCGAATCACTCGAGTGGGGAGAGCGTGCAAAGAATTGGTTTTTCGCTCATGGGGGAACACTGGACCAGGAGATAGGGAAGTGCGTTTATGGCGCAAGACTGCAAGAAGCAGCAGAAAGATTGTTTTATGCTCAGAGAGCTACTGCTAGTGGTGCGTTCAGGCCCAACAGAGAGAAGGATGAGCTGACATACGCCATCGGGACTATTGAACATGGTGGCCGAACTAGAGGCAAAGGAAGTGTCTCGTGGGAGCATGGATTCCCTCAGGACAGACCTTCCTACAGAAGCCGCCAGAGAAAGAAGGAAGAAGAGGCACAGCGGCTCCAGAGGTTGGAGGAAGCGGTGCATGAAGCACAGGAGCGGGAAAAAAAACCTTGAAGCGAGAATGCAGGAGGAAATCAGAAGGCAAGTGCAAATAGCAGTGAGTGCAAGCAAGCAGGCATCAGAGCCAGGAATCAACATTAGCCAATCTGCTCAGGTTGAAAAGCGATTTAAGCTTCACGGAGATACCAAATCAAGGGGACACAGGACTGCGCTTCCCTGTGGATGATGTCACTGAACCTTGTACAACGTGTGAGCTACACATTCCGAAGGGAAATTCCACAATCAAGGTGGCTATCGGTCTTGTTAATCCTATCGACCGAACTAAGACACCAAGGATTCATGGGAATATAATCCAAGAAGGATATGCTACCATCTCGATAGATAAAGCTGAAAAAGGTTTTAGTGATTTGCCTCTTGACATTCCTGGAGGTGATGGCGAGAAGACTCTAGGAGAAGCGGAGAAGACATTCATTCTATGGCGCAAGCGCTACATTGTCATTCTAGGGATGTCGGCTCCACCTCCTCCTGAACTACCTCACCATAGGTACGTGCTGATGAAAACACTACATCATTAATTTGTATTGGCTTAAATAATTAACAATCTGCTCATAATAATATGTCATTCCTTTTTTTGTAGCAGATCCTCCCCCAACCTAAATCCAATTGTTCAATCGCCAGATCATCATAGTGCTCTGTACGATGACATTATGTTGGAAGGCGAGGCTGCATCCACACCATCTCCAAGGAGGTCTCCAACGCCGCAGCCGCCACCTCCAAGGAGGTCTCCAACGCCACGCCAACACCTCCAAGGAGGTCTCCAACGCCTCCCCCGCCCCCGCCTACCAAGAAGCCTAGCAAGAGGCCAGTCCCTCAAACGAAGAACCAGGTCCCTTTTGCAAGAAAGCCACCGTGAAACCAAGGGCTATTCCCAAAATAATATCTCAAGAGAAGGAAGAAGGAACTGATGCATATAAAAAGATATGTCTAGATTCTATGACAAATTTAAAAAGAATCAAGAAGCAAGGAGAAACCCGGGAAACTGTACTTATTAGTAGCTCTAGATATTCTAAGAAAAAGGGTGGCTTCTTACCAAAGAACAACAATGCTGAATCTCGTAAGCCATCCCAAATCAACGTTATCGGACTATGACCGCACTCTCACCAAGTCAATTGAGGCGGCACAGAAAAAAAGAAGCGGGCAGGAAAGGAGTTGCCCAACTCGGACAACAAGCGCACCAATCAGTCCCCGCTAGTTGTTGGTAATGAATATGGTTCAATTTAGGATTAATGCATCGAGCAAACATACCTCCGGATGTCGATTTGGATCACCTTGGTGAATTTATTGATGAGACTGGTCTCGACCTTTACCAGATGTTTGGTGATGGAAACATTGAGAGTGCGGCGGAGGTTGATATTTGGAAGAAAAAAATTTGTACTAGGCCAGAGTCTATACAACCCTCAAGCCTTATCTGGATCTGGGGACGCAAATGTACCGCTAAACAAGTGGTACATGCAAGGGCGTCTACCGTGGAGACTTCTGCATTGGTGTCAGAATTAGAGACGAACATTGGTTCCGTGGCGATGATGTTATGTATGTTGACTTTGCAGAATTTCATCAACTATGCCACCTGACCTCTCTGAACAAAGTTATCATTAGCTGCTATTGCCTGTAAGTAATAATTCTTTCGATCTATTATTAAACTCATCATATGTGTGTATATGCATATAAATTATCCTAACAAGTACTATATATATGTAGATTTACAATGACAGAGCTCAGAAAGGAAGGCTGCAATGAAATTAGTTTTGTTGATCCCCATATAATATTTAAAGACCCAATTACTCCAAAGACTAATTGAAAGTCTGAGTCAGAGAGTAACCTCATGAACTTCTTAGTGAACCAACGCCACAAGAAGGATATACTCTTTCCCTATAACTTCAAGTGAGTGTTAATAATATCGATCATCCTTAATGGCTCATATGTTGATTCTAGTTAATTAATGAGTGTTATGCGTTATATCCTATAAACACATGCAGCAATCACTGGATATTGATGGACATCGATCTGGTGAAAAGTCACTTGATAATCTATGACTCGATGAGAAAACCACAACAAGACTACCAAGATATAATAGATATTATCCAGAGGTAATTTCGGGATCTCTAGCAACTATATATACACACAAACATGATGATTAACTATATCTGATGACGTGACAAATTTTTTATTGGGCAGTGTTTGGAAAACCTTTATTGAGAAGCAACACATGGAAAAATGCAAAGCGTCACTGAATGTAATCCCTTTGAAAGTAAGTCTCCTGAATCGCATCATCTTTATTAATTAAACATATAGCTTTCACCGGATCACCAGATTGGATGACAAATCTTTTTTCTCGTAAAGTGTGTGTCTGCGAGGCGTAAAAGCAAAGGGAACAACTACTGGGTTACTATGTTTGCAAGTTTATCAAGGTGATCTCCCAAAGAACTCCTATAGAGAGACTCAAAGTACGTTAAAAATACACTATATATTCATTTAATTATTATTATTGATTGTGTTACTATGTCTTTATATAAATATATGTACATATATTAATTTATTTTCCTTTAATTCAAACCTGTAGACTCGATGGTTGGAGGAAAAGGTCATACGGCAAGACCAAATCAAAGCAATTCAAGAGTCTATAGCCGGATTTTTTAATGAGCAGGTCATCGATTCCAAGGGCGAGTTCTACTTCGACCCAACACTGCCATGGAAGCCGAGCTAGAGGATGAGAGAAAACTTGTTATATCACAACAATTGTAATGCAATCTTTTTGTAATATATGCACATGAAATAATATAATGTAAAATACACATATGCATGCATGCATGTAAATATATATATGATGCATGCATGCATATATATATATATATATATATATATATATATATATATATATATATATATATATATATATATATATATATATATTTCTATGCTTGAATTGTGTGATTTAATACGTTAATTGTGCTTGAACCGAAACATACTATACACGCGTATAAATGTATAATTAGCAGCGTACAATACGACTTCGAAAACAAAAAAATAAAAAGAAAAGAAAAAAGAAAAAAACCTTTAGTCCCGGTTCGTATTACCAACCGGGACTAAAGGTGCCGGCCATCGTAGCATGTCAAGAGGCACCTTTAGTCCTGGTTGGTGTTACCAGGTCCTCCTTTAGTCCCGGTTTCTGACCCGGGACTAAAGGACCCCCCTTTAGTCCCGGATGCTTGCTCCCGGGTGGGGAACCGGGACTAGAGGAGGTTCCCCACCGGAAGTAAAGCTCGGTTCTCTACCAGTGATATGACAGTTTTTAGGGGATAGATGAGGTATTGTTAGACTGTTGGATATGCTCTTACTCCCCTCCCCGTACTCATTTGTTAGCTGCTATCACAAATGTACCTGCCATTAATGCGTATCATCAACTCAACAAACAAGGTTTTAAAATATACGTAGAATCTTTAGCAGGATGGAAGGAGTAATCAGTAATGTAAAGGAACACTCAAAGAATCAGTGGCATGCTGGCTCAACCGAAAGAGTACAGGAAAAGGGAGGTACGCGTACGTTGGGCATTGAAGCTAGGCCAAACAGAAGCATTGTAATAGCCTGCGCCATTCCTTCTTTGAAATAGAAAAAAAGAAAGAAGCGGAGCAAGCACTGGTCTTGAAAAAACGAAGCATAGCCAACGTTCCCACCATGCACGCATGTCCTATTATATCTAGGACCATTCCCATCAGGTAGAGAGCTAGCTAAGCTAAACTAATTCTAATTTCTAAGCTTCGCTAGTTAGCTGGAAATTAAGCACACACCAAGGAGGCGGAGCAGCAGAGGAGGAAAGGGAGAGGAGACGCGCGTGGCGGCGCTGTAGTAGCAGCCAGCAGCCACTGCCATGGCTGAGCTCGCGTCGGGCGCCGTGAGCTCGCTGCTGGGCCTCCTTCGTAACTAGGCGCTACTCCTGGGCCGCGTCGGGGTCGACGTGGAGTTCATCAATGAGGAAATGGACTATGGAGAGCATGCAAAGCTTCCTGGACAACCTGGCCAGGACGGCACCGCCCATCGGCGGTCATGACGAGCAGGTGAGCACATGGATGAGGCAGGTCCGTGACCTCGCCCACGACTGCCGCAACTGCATCGACCTCTACCTCCAGCGAGGTGACCCGGCGGTGTACCGTGCCAGGGGCGGCCGCTGGCGCTATCTCTGGTGGGCTTCCTGGTTGCTGCACAAGATCATCGCCCAGCACAGGGCGGCCATCCGGCTTGGTGACCTCAAGGAGAGGGTACGCGATGTTGGCGAGCGACGGTTCAGGTAGGGAAAATTTTATCAGCAATAAAATTCCGATAATACCTATAATCCCGTTTATCGCTGAGATCTGCTAAAATATATTTATCAGTGATATTTCAATTTTGCTAGTCCACCTACATGAAAGTGTGATATTCTCTGATATCAATATTAGTATGTGCTAGTTCTTAATGTTCGCTTTACCAACAACTTATGTATTTTTTAAGAGAAATTGAGCTTTTTTTGTTTATATTTTGGCAAGAAATTTTCTTATATAATAATAAACCCGTTTATCGATGACTTCTGGTATTTTATTGCTATTGATAAAGTAAACCCTATATATTATCAGGTATGGCGTGGAGATCCCGGGGAAGGCGGCGGTGGCGGGGCACTCTGCAGCAGCACCGTCAACTCAAGCTGCTGCCTTGCTTCTTGCCGCAGCAGATGAGGAAGACGACAAGGACGATGACAGTGTTCACATTCAAGCGGTGGCAGTGGTGGCAGACAGTTCTAATCCCCGTCAAAGAGCTCTGGAGCCTCGCGGTCTAGAGCATTACTGTGCAGATAAGCTAGCCTACTGGCTCAAGATCACGGGGGCAGACCCAGTGCCGGAGGCTCCCACATGAGTGGGGTCTGAAGAAGGAAAAAACCGAGGCAAGCCTTTTCCCCGTAAAATCTACGGAGAGGCTGCTTCAAACCCGCGACCTGGTGACTCAGTGAGACAGCTCTCACCACTGCACCAGACCTGCCCTTCTGGCTCAAGATCATGATGGAACCCAAAACTAGTGAGAGACCCAAAACTAAAGAGAGATCAGCAATGGCACCCATCGCCATTGTGACACCGGATAAAAGTGATGCCCAAAATATTGCTGATGATACATGGGTTATGGTTGGAGCTCATTTCGAGCACAGGATCCTGGTCGACCTCCATAAGGTTCACCACTCTTTTAAATTGCTGCGACCCTTCAAGATTCTTTACTACATCCTGCGGGAGCTTGAGCATGGCAAAACGCAATCCCAAGAAGCCAAAGATCAAGCCGAGGAGGAAGAGCACGGTAATGATGATGTTGATAACAGCAGAGGTGGTGGTGATGAGGAGGAGGAGGAGGATGAAGAGGAGGGGGAGGATGAGGACATGGATATGAAGGAAGAGGAGGAGGAAGAAGAAGAAAACGACGACGACGACGATAGGGATGATGACGACAGACGTTGGCAAGCCTACCGAGAAACAAGCAAAGTGCATTATGAGATGATGAAAACCATAAGGAAAATGAAGGTTAACATCGAGAATATGAAGATCAGCAATAAGATTGAACAAATCAAGGGAAAGATTCAAGAAATGAAGGCGGAGCATTTGAGCAAGGAGGGTAAAAAAATTATTGGAACCACAGGCGTACTCCTTATGGCTCTGCTGCAGCTCGAGGCACCAAGTCATGAGCAAACATACCTAGACTACACACGGAACCAAGCTAGGAGCCTAGGAGTACATTAGAAGGGGACAAGAAAAAAAATAATTGAGAAAATCGCAGCGAAGCTTAAAAATCATATTGAAGAAGAAAGCACCCAGAACTGGCTGTGGCTGGATCATGTCCAATATCAAGGCATCCTACAGGAGGTGTTATACACCCAACCAAGAAAAGCAACAAGGAGGCCCAGGGCGCCCAGGAGCAAGACAAACCAACAGGCAAACTAACCTCAGAGAACATGATTATATTGGGCGATCACCAAAACAACCAAGAAGGCACCCTTGTGACTGTTGAGAAACTGTTGGACAAAATTGAGAGGAACATTGCAAAGCAGCTGCTGGTCAAACGGATAGTGGACAAGATTAAGGGAAATTTGCAAGGTAGAAGGGGCCTAATTGTCCTCAATGATAGCAAAAAAAACTACATATCAAGATGGGAGGAAATCCAAAATGCTTTGAACCTGTTGGTGGATTGCGTCGCTGGTGTTGTGATCATGACCACCACAAAGGACAGAGAGAGGACCAAAAAATTTTGCTACCCACCTGGGGAGCCTACTCCCTTGTTGGTCGTTACTATGATGCTGTGCTCCAGTTCATAGGGCAGCGGGTGAATAGAGATGATGACTACATTCCCAAGATCATCCTCAACATCTTGGGCAAGTGTGATCCACATGAGTTCTGCATGAAGATGTTTGCACATGCTTTGTACTCTAATCCCAACAGAAGCACTGAAGAACTGCGCAAGCTGTGAGGACCTGCAAGATTCCAAGAAATCATGGGCCACTAATGCCAAGAAGATATTCAAGTTCTCCTATAACGACCTGCCCAGAGAACACAAGTCCTGCCTATTGTACCTAGCCATCTTCCCTCAAGGTTACAACATCCATCGGTCAACTGTAGTAGGCCGATGGGTTACAGAAGGGCTGATAACTAAGGAAGACTGGTGCACTGCAGCGCATCATGCTGACCGATGCTTTGACAATCTCATCAACCGGTGGCTTGTTTTGCCAAAAGTTATCAGTGCTGCAGGAAAGGTCAAGAGCTGTGTGGTAGGTGATGAAGTCCATGGGTATATCACCAAGATCGCCTATAAAGAGCACATCTCCATCTTCAGTGGTATCCGACTCCGTGCCTCTGATAGCATCAAGAAGTATGTCAGAAAGCTCCATCTTCAGTGGTATCCGACTCCGTGCCTCTGATAGCATCAAGAAGTATGTCAGAAAGCTCCACAAGTATTCACCTCAACTACCATTGCTCAAGTTGCTGGACCTTGAAGACTGTCCTTGGTTGAATAATGACCGTCGCTACCTCAAGGACATCTGCAGCAAAATATTACTTCTCAAGTATTTGAGCCTAAGGAGAACAAACATTACCCATCTGCCCAGTGAAATCAACAACCTCCACGAGCTTGAGGTATTGGATATCCGGTAAACCATGGTGCCAGAGCATGAAACAAGAGATGTACTACTCCTAAAACTTAGGCGTCTTCTAGCTGGCCATGCTGATCCAAGCACAAGCAACAGTGTCCGCATCCCTTGCAAGATCGAGAAAATGGAAAACATGGAGGTGCTGTCAAATGTAAAGGCTTCACGGCATGGACATGAGATAAAAGAAATTAGAAAGCTATGTAGCCTGAGGAAGCTCGGTGTGGTTATTGACGACAACGAAGCTCATCTCAGAAATTTCCTTCGAGTTGCCAGTGACCTAAAAGAGTACCTCCAGTCTGTTTCAATCACTATAACAGAAACCAAAAGTAAAGTCACGCAACCCATTCATGAGCTGCTAACAGCGGAAATGTACAGACGCTTGATTCAACCTCCCAAGAGTCTTGAGAGCCTAAGCATTAGTGGAACGGCCACACAGAAGAGGAAACTTCTCCCATCGTTGGTCAAAGGAACCAATGAACTTGAGAAGGTAACTCTGAGCAGAACTTCCATGGAGCAAGACGATCTAAATGACATCGCTGAGTTGCCTAACTTACAATGTGTCAAGCTCCGGCATGAGGCATACAACACTCAGCACAAGTACACCTTCAAGAAGAATGAATTCCAACATCTTAAGTACTTTCTTGTTGAAGGCCACAACATGAGTGACATCACCTTTGAAGCTGGAGCAGCTCCTGAGCTCGAGAAGATCATCTTGTCCTCTACGTACCGAGATAAAGTCTCTTTGTGGGGTTGGTGGTCTTCCGAAGTTGACGGAGTTCAAGTTAAAGGACAACAAACTAATCTTTTCGTCATTCACCTTCAAGAAGAATGAATTCCAACATCTTAAATACTTTCTTGTTGAGGGCCCCAACATGTCTGAAATCATATTTGAAGAAGGAGCACTTCCTGAGCTTGAGAAGATCACCTTGTCCTGCACCGACATAAGTTTTCTTTGTGGGGTTGACAAGCTCACCAAATTGAAGGAGATCGAGTTGAAGCATAACAAGAAGCTCCTCTCATTATTTGAGCAAGCCAATCAAACTACTAAGGTGACTCTTTATGACACCTTACTCAAGCAAAGCGATCTACATAGCCTCGCTACCAAACCAAAAGTTATCTGTCTAGAGCTCTTGGAGAAGTCCTGTGATGAAAGTGGGCTTATCTTCGACAAAGGCCAGTTCAAAATGCTCAAGATTCTTGTTATCAAGTGCTCCAATATCACCAAAGTTAACTTCACTGAGAAATCTGCTCCTATTCTAAAGAAGTTCATCTGGTCCTATAGCAAGATTGAGTATCTCTCGGGCATGGAGAACCTTGTGAAACTCAAGGAACTCGAGTTCAGTGGTGGCCTTGTCCCTCATAAGGTGAGAAATGACATCGAGACACATAATAATAAACCTCTTCTTATACACAAGAAGCCGGAGCAACAGAACCAAGAAAAAGACAGTGAACTAGAAGACGAAGACGACGCAAGGTGTTCACCTATCTCCTGGATCTTGAAAAAGAAGCAGGTTCAGCCGTAAAGGTTCCCATTCTGCTTCTATCCATGCATGCATCCACCTCGTTTTTCATGATAAGTAGCTTGTGTGTGCGCGTGCCTGTTACAAAGTGGTGTGCCTGCAACTGCAACTCGTGTGTAGCTTTACCTTCCTCATGCATCAGCTGTGCCATCTGACTGCATGCATGCATGAATGCTTGAGCATAACAGCTATGCTGTGCCTACATATGTTCATGTATCAATTTGGATTTCCCTTCAGTTGTTGTGTTGTGTGTGACTTTCCTCTGGATGTGCACAGCATGTTGCTTGCGTGTCTTGAGTATATAATTAAGAGTGTTTTCATTGAGGATGCGGGCGTATGGCTGTCCCTGTGTGCTCTTTGATCCAGATGTGTATGTGCGCTTTCCACAGAATTAACCATCCGGTAAGGTTCCTTGTAATAAGTGAGACATTTCAGTTCTTAATTCAATTATTAGTGTATGCAATCTACAGTTGGTTCCATCGTTTATGTGGCTATCGTTTATGTGGCTATGTATGCATGTGTACTCCATTTCAAATTGTAAGCCGATTCGACTTTTCTATATTCATAAGTCTTACTACATATCTAGACATGATGTAAAAGCTAAAACAAACTACAATTTAGGGTCGGTTTGAATCCTCTCCTCTAAACTTTAGTGCTCTAAAAACTTTAGAGCACTTTAGCTTAGTTTTGAGGTCTAAAATTCTAACGTGAGGTGGACTAAAGTTTAGAGCAAACTTTAGACCACCTGTTTGAAGACTTTAGCTCTACAATTTAGAGTAGAGGAGGGGATGACTTTAGCTCTAAAGTTTAGAAAAGATGAGGGGATTCAAACAGACCCTTAGAATGGAAGGAGTAATTGAAAGGGTGTCCTCCTGTTTTTGGTAGAACCATTGAAATACTGCGCGTAGAACCGTTAAATACTGCGCCAATTGGCAAGAAATTAAGCAGAGCATGCAGCTGACATTAATTAATTAGACAGACATCGGTGCTCAACCACCACACCGTCCACCCGCATTATTCAAAGATGGAGAAAAACAATATTACCAACGAAATAGTCACAACTCTTGCATTGGTATGACCTATTTTTGGAAATACTAATTGTTAGATGATCTACTGCTCCCTTGTGTGAACACACAGTAAGGAAAGACGGCGCCGAAAATGCCCCCTGTTGTGGTACTGTAGCCGCTGCGGAGGCAGACGCCAAACGGTTCACCTGCCGCACTGTAGCCACATGTAAGGACAGGCGCAGAAGTCAGTCCTGAAATACAGGGCTCTGGCCAACGCTGGTGCTTATACTGTGTGTGTATACTCTGTTCTCCCTCTTCTTCTACCTCTAGCCATAGTGTGTGTAGTCGGACAGCCTCGGTCGTGCTCGGCCGTGGTCGGCAAGACTGGTGAGTAGTCGACTCACCTGAGCCGGTGATCCTGTGGGCTAACAAGTGGTATCAGAGCCGTACGAACGTCGTTGTCGGACTAACCGCTGGCAATGATGAACGGTTCGGAGATGGGCGACAGCAGTGGCACTGTTGTGGCTGCCCAGCCACGACCGGAGGTCGTTGTTCGCACGGTGCGAGAGGTCAGCGTACCAGTTGGCCGACGCAGACTCACACCAACTATGGAGAGTGGTCGGTGACCATGAAAGTCAAGCTCAGAGCCCGACAGCTCTGGAATGTTGTTGACAAGGGCACCGGCAATGAGGAAGATGATATGTCAGCGTTGGAGGCTATCATCGCTGCTGTACCGGTGGAGTACAGGGAGCCGTTGGGGGCGAAGAGCTCGGCTAAGGAGGCGTGGGAGGCTATTATGGCGATGTGCGTCGGTTCCGACCGTGCAAAGAAGGCGACGGCCCAGCTTCTGAAGCAGGAGTACGCCAACCTCAAGTTTAAGGATGGTGAAATGGTGGAGGACTTCTCCTTCCACCTGCAGATGCTCATCAGCAAGCTAAAGAGCCATGGCGTCACCATCGACGAAGAGGAGGCAGTCTCCAAGTACCTCCACTCCGTGCCGACAAAGTACATCCAGATCACTCTCTCCATAGAGACGATGCTGGACTTATCCACCCTCACCATTGAGGATGTGACAGGCCGTCTGCGGGCGGTGGACGAGAGCTTGGAGCAGGCGATAGCAATGGAGGACAACGGCAAACTGCTGCTGACAGAGGAGGATTGGGCTACTCGGAGGAACTCCGAGAAGGCAGCCTCCTCCAGCCACGGTGGCGATGGCAAGCACCGGGCAAAGGCTTCTTCGGAGAAGAAGAAGCAGGTCGACCCCAATGCTTACCGGCGCTGTGGGAAGATGGTCCATTGGGCACGGGAGTGCCCAAATCGCAAGCAGGAGAAGAAGGCTGAGGCTCATCTGGCGCAAGCTGATGATGATGATGAGGCCACTATCCTGATGGCGATGTTCTGTGCACTGCACGACGTCGAGGCCGAGAAGGAAGAGACGACGATGGTCGAAGGACCTAGGATGGCCCTGAAGGTTGTCAACCTCGACGAACCACGCATCCAAGTCCACCTCGGATGTGTGGGCGCCGACCAGGAGCAGCGGTGGTATCTGGACTTTGGTGCCAGCAACCACATGATGGGCTCCAAGGCATCCTTCTCCGAGCTCGACGACGATGTTACCGGTACGGTAAAGTTTGGTGACGGCTCAAGGGTGGCTATCCAAGGGCACGGCACCATCATCTTCAGGTGCCAGAACGGGGAGCACCACACGCCAACAGATGTATATTACATCCCGCAGCTGCGTTCCAGCATCATCAGCATTGGTCAGCTGGATGAGCACAGTAGCGAGGTACTGATCAAGGACAGAGTCCTTTGGATCAGGGACTGGGAGTAGCGACTTCTTGCCAAGGTGAAGAGGTCCTTGACCTGATTGTACCTATTCGACCTGAAGGTAGAGTGGCCAGTGTGCCTGGCGGCAAGGCACACCGAGGAACCATGGATGTGGCATGCCCGGTTCGGACATCTCAGCCTCGACGCGCTTGGTCAGCTGGAGAAGATGGTCCGAGGGCTACCCCACATCAAGCATAGAGGCGAGCTGTGTGACAGCTGTCTGGCCGGGAAGCAGAGGAGGCTACCATTCCTAAAGGCGGCCAAGTATCGCGCGAAGGACGCTCTCGAGCTCGTCCACGGCGACCTCTGCGGGCCGATCACGCCAGCTACAAATGGTGCTCGGCGGTACTTCCTCCTGCTCGTGGATGATTGTAGTCGCTACATGTGGCTGCAACTCCTGACGAGCAAGGACGAAGCGGCGGCGAAGAAGAAGTTCAAGATGCGCACGGAGGCCGAGAGCGGCAAGAAGCTCCACGTGCTGAGGACTGATCGCAGCGATGAATTCACTTCGGTGGAGTTCGCTGCGTATTGCGCGGATTAGGGTGTGGTGCGACACCACACCACGCCGTACTCACCACAACAGAATGGCGTGGTGGAGAGGCGGAACCAGACGGTGGTCAGCATGGCTCGATCCATGATGAAGGCCAAAGGCATGCCGGCAAGGTTTTGGGGTGAGGCGGTGACCACGGCGGTGTTCATCCTCAACCGCACTCCAACCAAGGCCCTGACAGGCAAGACGTTGTTCGAAGCTTGGTGTGGGCGCAAGCCGAGTGTGTCCTTCCTCCGGACATTCGGCTGCATCGGCCACGTCAGGAAGCCAAAGCCGATCCTCACCAAGTTGGAGGACAGGAACACACCGATGGTGTTCCTAGGCTACGCGGAGGGTACCAAGGCGTACCGGTTCTACGACCCACGCGGAGACAAGGTGCTTATCTCGCGCAACATCGTGTTCGACGAGAAGGTGGCTTGGGACTGGAGCAGTCCGAGCACGGGGGAAGCTGGCGGCTTCACCAGCACCTTCGTCGTCGATCACGTGGTCATCCACGGTGGTGGAGACACTAGGGAAGATGTGCTGAGCACTCTGAAAGGGGTGCTGAGCACTCCAGCGGTAGAGCCGAGCACTCCTAGGGTAGTGCCGAGCACTCTGGGAGGAGTGTCAAGCACTCCTGGAGGGATGCCGAGCACGCCAGCAGTGGCGCCAGAGGTTCTGCGGTGGTGGTGACCACTCTAGGATGGATACCGAGCACTCCCGTGGTGGAGCCAAGAGGTCTTGAAGTGGTGCCAACCACTCCAAGACTGAGGCTGAGCACTCCTACAGTGGTGCCGAGCACTGCAGGAGTAGTGATGAGCTGTCCAGAAGTAGTGCCGAGTACTGCAACTAGGGTGCTGAGCACTAAAGGTGCTGCGCCGAGTACTCTGGCAGAACAAGGAACTCCATCGATGCCGATCGAGTTTGTCTCACCTCCCGGTGACATCACTGAGTTCGTGGATGCCTTCCACGAAGGTGAGGAGGTGCGGTTCCGCAGGCTGGACGACATCATCGGTGGCACAGGACCCTCAGGCCTGGCTGGTCGGCCGCTCAATGATCAAGAGCTGCTGCTCATCAGTGTAGAGGAACCACCCACGTTCGTGCTAGCGAAGCGCAACGGAAACTGGCGATGGGCGATGCTGGACGAGATGAAGGCGATTGAGGTAAACGAGACATGGCAGCTCGTCGATCCACCTCCAAGATGCCGTTCGATCAGCCTGAAGTGGGTGTACAAGGTCAAGCGGGATGAGCTCGGCGCCACTGTCAAGAACAAGGCGTGCCTCGTCGCCCAAGGCTTTGTTCAGCGCGAGGGCATAGACTTCGAGGAAGTCTTTGCGCCAGTAGCGCGCATGGAGTCGGTCCGTTTGCTACTAGCCTTGGCAGCAGCAAAGGACTAGCGTGTCTATCACTTGGACGTTAAATTAGCCTTCCTCAATGGCGAGCTGGCGGAGACGGTCTTCGCAAGGCGTTCTACGGGCTGCGATAGGCCCCACGAGCATGGAACGCTAAGCTTGACGCCACGCTGGGCGAGCTTGGGTTTTAGCGGTGCGCAACCGAGCACGCGCTCTACACGCGGCGACGGGGGAAGGAGGAGCTTGTCGTCGGCGTGTATGTGGATGACTTGATCGTAACAGGCGCGC